AAACTCTGGCCATCTCCCTTCTGTTAACTGTCCTTTGTACTGTTTATTGATGCTTCTGTTGTTGTAGCGCTGTTGTTATTCTGCTGCTCCAGACATTTGCTGACGTCGATTATGCCTTTTTACAGAAAATTTCCTTCGCTTCCATGGAAACAACAAAAACTTTCCCAGCGAAACTGAGAAAGGCAGAGGAAGGGCAGTGGCTGGAGACTGGTCTCAGTTTACAACATTGTCTTGCGGTTTGCTGCATGCAAAAATGATTTTATGCAAAAATGTTCTCCAATAGTTTTTGGGTTCTTCCCTCTTTTGTTTGGTTTTTTCGGCGAAGGTTGAAACTTTTGAATGGAAAAATTTCGCCAATTGCTCAGTAATGGATTATGGTTAAGAATTAAACTTTAAGGGAGCAGTCCGATCGGAGCATCCGAGCTTTAATTTCCATATGAAATTCCATTTGTTCTTTGCAATTTTCACGGTAAAAAGTACAGCCGCACACACCCAAGACTCTCAGCTCTCAGGGTCCAAACTCGGGACCAAAATATTCCCATTTGCGAACACACCTGACATCCGCCAAAGAGGATACCAGAACATAGACCCTGCACACGTTTCCGGGCTTGCACCCGAAGGCTTCCAACGGTCTGGCCACAAAACACAGCGTGCAGAGAAACAAACTGCTATTATGGCGCACGATAAAAAGTAAAAGGTTGCAAAGGATACAGAGAGTGCGAGAGAGTCGGAGGGAGAGAAGGGAAAGAAAAATGAAATAAAAAATCGGAAGCCAAAAACGGGCGCATAAAAATTGCATTAAAATTGCCACGCGGACATCCGCAATGGACTCTGAACCCCATAGGGTGTGGGTGGATTCGAGTGGAGGGGTTGCTGCAGGGCGGGCAGGTGGACACTGCCCGGAAATGCAAAAGTAGACGGAAGTGCAAGTTGTGCAAAAGAAACTCTACATTTGCAATGACAGCCACCTCCTTCTGTTCTTCGAATTGGGGGCACAAAATTAAATGTTTCCGCATGCGAGCAAAATAAAAAGGGAGCAACCCAAATGGAACTGCCAGCCATTTTGTTGTCATTTGCCGGACGCCATTCTGACAGTTTATTGCAAACAATTTCTTCTCTCTTTTTCTTTTTGTCAGGCCCTGGAGTCTACCACTCCAGGCCGTGTCTAATTTGGCACATCATTTAGTGGAGGCAAATCCCTGTTCAACTTGACTTGGCCACTTGTCACCTCCGCTGGCGCTTGACATCCATTAATCAATCAAGTGTGTGTGTGTGTGTGTGTTGTGCTCTGTGTCCTGGGGTAACTTTTCCGGTCTCATTTCTTTTCCATACGCACCCGTAGAGAGACAATTAGCGTCAAGTTTCGCTGGGCATATGCGTTGCTTTGAAGTGTTTCCTGTTAATGAGATAGACTAGCTTTTCCTGGGGTCAACTTGGTGGCTGTTTTTTAGGCAAAAGTCAGACACAGTGGTGGGTGCCATAAGGGGAGGAAATTCATTCCCATTTTTGGTGTTTATATTTACCATAAACCCGATTTTAGTACATCTAAGAGCTCAAAGCTTGAAGCCTTAAAGCAGAGTTCAACAGACTTTGGCTCACTTTCTGCTCTTAAGCCGATTAGACTTTGCTTCCACTTTATAAGCAGTAGTGGAAAATCTGCCCCCCTGCTGCAGCACACACAGCTGCACGCCCCTGACTTGCTCTAGCCAAAGTTGCCTCATCAACTCGCGCTTCATTAGGTGCACACTCCAAAGGCCAATGCCAAAAGGTGAAAAACAAAAAATATCAGTACATATATAGAGATACTGGATGCTGCTGCCGCTGCTGCTGCTACTTATAGACAATATAACAAGAAGAAAGAAAAAGAAAAGAAAAATGAATGAAGGAAGACCTGAACGAAGAGCAGGTCAAAGTTACACAAAGGGAAAAAAGTTGCAAAAGGCAGTGGTAGTAGTAGGAACAACAAAAACCACAACAAGGAGAGACAGGAATTGGCGCTCGTGGCAGTCTCCTCAGTCCCCACACAGACACTGTTCCAGCCTGTGGCTGATTGATCTCGTGGGAAATTTTGCACAGTTGATGCAACCAACAGCAACAAGGACACCAACAACAACAACAACAACAACAACAACAGCAACAGCAAAAGGAACTTATATTTTCTGTTTGTTCAGCTACTCCCGCCCCGCTCCCTTTTTTGCTATTTCCACTTCTTTTGTTTCACTTTTGCACCATCTTGTTTCTGGTTCTGTGTGGCGCACACGAAATTAACTTAATGTCACTTACACTTTAGTGCTTTGGGTTAATTTGGTTAGATTATTGTTAATATCCTTTGGGGGGTTCTCTGCGGAGTATTCATTGTAACTGTGTGTGAGTGGGAGTCTGAGTGTGTGCCTGTCTCTGGCTAAGAGACTGTCTCTGTTCTCTGTTCTCTGTACTCTGGGCTCTGGGCACACATTTAGCGCTTAGGCAGTTCTAAAGTTTTCGACATAAAAATGATGCATTGCCCTTGGTTAGAACTTTGTCGATTGTCTTCGGCCATGGAGAGAGATTTGACAAATACATAAATATATATCTACTATGCGAAAGTTGAATGAATTATTTCGGCTCTTGATGAAAATTGTTTCTGAAAGAGAGATTTATAACGATACGGAAGCTGCTGAAGAAACTCCGTTGTACATCAAAATATTTTGACATTTCGCCATCACAATTGTCCATGATAATTGCCCATTTGTACAGACTCAGACTTTCACCTTATGGAAGCCAACCTGTGCCGCGTGGGAGACAAAAAACAGACCGTAGATCAAGGATGCTTACTTACATTCACATTATGCAAACATATTTATTTGTTCACTGCGAAATTCTCCACGGAACTGACTTTGCGGCTAATGCAGATGGCAGGCGAAGCGAAGCGTAAAATGCTTTGTAAATTATTATGGCAAGCCCGTCTGCAGGGGGCTGGGTGCTTACGCTCCGTGTATAAATATTTTTCTTCTCAGATAAACAAAGTATTTTGCGGAGCTGCGCGGCTTATGGGTAAGGGGGCTCCCGGTGTGGTGGTGGCATGTGTTGTGTCATAAATTTCAATTGACTTATGAATATGGAGAAGAATTTTTGCCTGAAAAGTTTTAGCGCCTACACGTGCCCATAAGTCTAAAAGTAGGCAAGAAATATGGCGCTTAAATGTATTTTCCATTTTGCTAATTTCCAAATTCACAATGAAATAATCTCTTTATTTTCCATAAAATATAATAGAGTACGAATTAAAGACCTTTCCAACCTTCCTGTCTGTTCTTTCACTCTACCCACTGGAGCTGCCGGGGCTCAGCAGTAGAATTTATTTCTTGATTTATTCCCATAAGAACTTCATTGTTTGTGAAGCGTTTTTTTCACATGTCGAACCACCAGCAATTCTTTGAGTCTCATATTTTCCTTGAAGCCATTCAAAATGTTGTTTTTTTCCGAGCGACAATAAAAATCATATTTTTTATGACAGATAAGATCCTTTCCACATGTCTCCTTCCCTCATGTGAATTATGCTCTCATTTATATGCAGGCATGGGGGGTGACTTCTAGGCGATTCTCATAATTACATTAAGCATATTAAACGTCTCGAATGCCGTCTTGGTCTCGTACCCCTTCCCATCCTTCCCACACTGTACACCCCAAACGGCATAAGCGGGGAGAACCCATCTCTCGTCCTTGGAGGCAACTAATAACGTGTCATAAAAGATTTTCAGCGCTTTAAGTACGTGTGCGTGTGGGGGGTGTGTCTGGGTGTTCGCTGTGTATGATGAGAGAAATTCTGAAGCATCTTTCATAATTTTACACTCACAAAAAATTGTATTTTGTTTAATTGGGTAATCAGATATTATTAAAATAATTTTTGTAAAAACCCAAAGGATTGCTAAACTGATACTCTTTTAACAAATTTAAATTACAAATTGGAATAAGATTAATTTAGGGGTGTAAACATTTTTTTCCGGTGTATGTTGGTGTCTATTACACCACCCATAATGTGCGTGTGTGGGTGCCATTGTTGTTGGCTCACATATACTAATTCCTTGACTCGGTTTTAAGCGCTAAATGCTTAACTCGTAATTAATAGCAATTAATTGAACTGCATCCCACTCTTTTCCCATGAAGAGCTGTGGACAGAGACGTTGGAGCGTATTCCTCTCGTGGAGTGGCAAAGCTTATCAATTATAAATAATTCACAAAAAGAAAGCAGTGCTATATTTAGCGTGTCATTTCAGAGTGATAAGAAAGGCATAACCACATAGAGGATGAACGTTGATGGCCAATCTTTCGCCACGGCAGAATACATCTCATAGTTTCTGTCGAAAATTCTGTAGATCTGCACGCAAATTCTTAAAAATACCCAAATCCTATATTGCATTTTTTTGCAACATAATATAAAACATTTCTTAAATAGGACGCTCCAGTAGCTGCCAACAAATATTAGAAAGTCTTTCGCTAATCTAAATACAAATTTTGAAAATTCCCCAAAGCTCAAGCCTGAGCTCCAAATATTTCCCAATATTTTAACAGTTTTGGGACAAATTGAATAGCAGTCGAATCGCTGATGATACATTTGATGTAGTCCATTTTGCGAGTGGCTACAAAATGCTTACCTATTATGAAAGTGTCACAAGTAAAGTTATTTTTTACAATAAATATTAATACTCCTTTCAGCTACTTTTATTCTAACATATGTATTACACGCCTCTGCTAACGAAATTCAAACAAATTGTACCGTTACATTGCCCAGCCAGCTCTCTCGCTTACTCTCTTGCAGTACAGGAGGAGCCGAGCCTCGGCAGTTTCGTCAAGTTGAGCGCAGGAGCCATCGGCATTGAGCGAGAAAGAGAGCGAGAGAGAGAGAGAGCGGAACAGGCGAGAAAACCGACAACAATTTTGAAGAGCGAGAGCCGAAGCGTAACGAACTGTAAGCCGGGCAACCGAAAATCCCTTTCTGGGGCGATGCTTGCGACGATGGCGAGAAAAATCAGCAGTTCCATTGATAACGCGCAACGAATTGGATCTCAGGCACACTCCGAGCCCCAGCAGCAGTGCCCCTCCGCAGCAGCAGCAGCCCCCCTGCTCCTAAAGACGCGAAAAACAATAACGAAAAAAGTATTAAGAAGCTTTCCGGCACAATCGGTCAGTGTGTGTGTCTGTTTGTAACTGTGTTTGTTAGCTAGGGACTGACTGTAAGCGATGCTTATGTTCATGCATTTTTCATAATTTTCGCTTTCGCCTGCTGCTCAGCTACGTCTGACACCGTCGATTCGTCGAGCGTTTTCCGCAGCGCGTGTGTTTAATTATATCGCCGCATCCAGGGTGTACTCCCATAAGCAGCCGCAACAACTGTCGAAAGCGAAACTGCAAATTAAATTAAATTTGCGCAATCTGCTGATTCTTTTTGCCATTGGGTATTTGTTGCTAACAATTCATTAGACTCTGCAGTGCAGAGACACAAAGAGTGATAAGACACTGAGAGAAAAACACACAAATTGATTGCAATTTTCTGCAAAAGATTAGCTGAAACATGTAAGTTACAAACTTTATCATTTAATTAAAGTAAAAACGCACAAAATAATATTTCCCATACTGCTAACTCTTTCATGGCTCCGGTCTTGGATTACACCACTGAACCACATCGAAATGTTTTGAGATTGGGCGGGACTTTTGGTGCACAGAAGATGCTATTTTAGTCGACTGTCTTAGCCGCTAATTTACCTAAACTCATCCCTAATTCCTAATATTTATTAATATTTCAATGTCAACTCGAAAGCACTGAACCTGGACCTACCCCGACATTATTTCAATTAAATTCATATTAAAATTTCATTAAACTGAAAACGCCCACAAAATGGCCACTAATTAGTTTGGACCTGCCCTGCCCCATGGCCCGCAAGACAACCCATGACTTTCGGCCCACAACAAAAAAAAAAAACAACAAGAACAGCACACAAATTCAAGGCATTTTCTATATAGGCCAGCGGGAGTAAAGCAGGCGCGCGGCCTAATTAAACTTTGAGGACAAATGCGGGAGCGCAGATTCCGACTTTTGTTTTGTACGTTTTCCCGGCCTCTCGTTTAAAGCGACGACATTTTCATTTCAACCTTTTCAGCTATTTTTTGCTCCCTCTGCTGATTTATCTATATGGATATATACGTATCGCTGTAGGGGGCCGCACTGCCAGTCCCCAGCAAATATTTTATTTCTGTTTTCGCACAAAGCGATTTGTGAGGGACGTTAGCCGGGCCGGGCCGGGCTGGGCCGTTCGCCTGTCGACGAGTTGGCGTCACATAAATTTTCATACATTTTCCAGCAGCCCCATCTCGCCGAGAGTCCAGTTTACTCCAGCTCGATCTGCCCCGCCCCGTGTCTACTCTGGGCTGACAGCGACTTAATGAGCTGCGGAAGTTAATGTGCAACTTGGCTCTGACTTGCTTCCATTTTTGCCGGCAAATTTATTTGCATATTTGGGTTAATTTTGCTACTCTGTGTGGCCTTTCCGTTTGCTTTTTTTTCCATGACCAGCATTATTTTTAGACCCCATTTTCTTTGTTTTTCTTGCTGGTTTTCTGACCTACTTTCGGTTTAATTAACATGTTCCATCATTTGTCTACCCCCAAGGCAATCTCTTCAGATTGAATAAAACGCAATTTTTTTCGTGTAATTATGTTTATATTTTTGTATGTTTTTTTATGTAGTACAAAAGTGTGGATGTTTTCGTTTAAATAACACACACCCGAAAGAGTATCGAACATGAGTATGACACAAAAGAGGATGGTGTGAGAGATGTAGAGGGATGAGCCACCTCACCTGCACGTAAAACAAGAGAATTTATATATTTAAGATAATCGCTCACCACTAGTACCATTTCAGGAATACTCACTATTTGTTGGTGTTGGAAGTGTTGAGTAGGAGTACCAGAGCATAATACTTATTGTATCTAGTGGCAGGTGTGGGAACTGACAGATCTGTTGGTATTAAGGTTTTCGTCTCTAATGAAAAACAAAATATTTATGCCAAAACTCACTCGTGTTGGTGGAAGTCGTACACAAAGAAGTTGCATGTTGGAAATGCTACCATAGGGGGAACGAGTATGCTCTTGATCCACAAACAGACACATGCCACAGACAAAAAAGTTGTAAATTATTCAACTATTATTAAATAATCGCATACTCACTTTTAGATGGTGTTGCTGTTATTAGTGTGACGGAGCAAGACGGGCTCAGTAATATCTGTTGGCATTGATTCTTAAGTTTGTGCTCAAAATATTTAAATTAGTCATGTGAATACTCACTCGTGTTGTTTCGTGACAGACTGATAAGAGCGGGGGTTGGGCAGTTATTACAGACCCAGAGATACTAGCGACTGAGCCACAAATAAATGGAAAGAGCGACAATTTGTATTTATTAAAAAAGCCAAGAATTGTGTTTTTGTTTTTCACTTTTTTCTTAACGTTACTAAAACTTTTTTTCACTTTTTTCTTAGTATTACTAAAACTTTTTTCACTTTTTTCTTAGTATTACTAAAACTTTTTTTCACTTTTTTCTTAACTCTAGCCGAAATGTAAAATTTGTACATTTTTATTTTCCGAAAAATTAAATTTATTTTTGTTTTTTTTGTGAGCTGCTCTCAGTTGGAGCTCTCGACACAAACTAAATATTAAAATGGAGTTTCAGACTTCAAGGAAACAAACACATGTCAGGGCCTACTTGTCGTTGTTACTTTCGTATTTCGTTTCCCGAAATTAGAAAAACAAAAGCATGCTGAGTGTTTTTTTTCCGATTCCCAACGGTGCCAGGGGCAAACAAAGACCTTCCCGGAACCCGAAAGAGTGATGCACGCTTATCAAAGGAACGGTTGACTCTTGTGGCCACCCACCACGCGTTCCACATGCGAGAGGGAAGAAATGTGTAAACTCTCACAATCAATGGAAAGAAATTTTTTGTGTAAACACGTTCGTGCCTCGCATGCCCCACCGTGCCCCACTACCGGTTTACTCAGCCAATTTTCTTTTATTTTTGCTATTTTTTGTTGTTGTTACATACGTGAAAAGTGCTTGGATGCTGAAAGTGGGAAAGCGCTTTAATCAAAAGGCAGCGACAAAAGCGAACCGTGAGCGAATCTTCTGGGAAAATTATTCTGCACCAATCTCCAGACTTGGCCACTGCTCGTGGCCTATTTGTATGCTCAAGTTCATTAGCGTCAGTCTGCAAATATTTGCCAGAGTTGGCAATTTCTCTGTTTCGCCTTTTTGCTGCTGATTCCCCGCCGCTGCTACTTGGCTGCTCTGTGAGTTATTTGGCCACAAGCAACAAACATCATTAAATTTAATTTGTTGCCAATATTGAACCAATTTATGCCTGTGTGTGTGTGCATCACTCAGGGCGGGATGGGCTAAGGCAGAAAGGGTCAAGGAACGTCTGGCTTCGGCAGCGGCTCTAGCAGAGTGAATAAAATAAATTATATAAATATATAGAAATGCTTACTCGTGCATCGGTGTTTATAATGAATACTCAATTTTGCGTGAATCTATTTCTGCATTTCCTTGACATACTTCTGCAGACTTCTGGCGCCTTCTCATCAATTCAACGAGTTTCTCTTTTGTTGCCATTTCCAAATATGCTTTATGCTTTGACAAATCGAATCTTTACTTTTCCATCTCCACCTTTTTGACTATGCATAGCTAATGCTTGCGGACGGAATAATTTATGCAAGAACTATGTCAAATTCCTTGAATGTATTATCTGCATTGATTTGAAGGAAATGTGAGAATTTTGGTACTGAAAGTCTTGCAATGAAAATACGTATTTAATATAAAATGCTTTCGCTCTAAGAAAAAATATAAATCTGTTGTTATAACTTCAGTTTCAATATTTTTCGTTGGCATTTGATTCGTTTCAAAATTGTCACGTTTGGATTTAATATTTTTAGAATTTAGACGGTCGCAAATTAAAGTGCAACTCGAACGCTGTGTGGCACCTGTCGAAACGATGAGAGTTGCGAGAACTTAATCCATTTTTAATGCTGGACTGACTCACTCGAAACGCTCTCGAAGGCGCAACTTTGCCACTCAATGCACTTGAGTGCGGGCTGGAGGTAGAAGGCGGAAAGGAAATCAAAAGTTAAAATAAACTTCGTTGTCCTTGCCGCCAGTTGTAGTCCGCGTCGCCGGTGCCGTTTGTTGTGCTTTTTTCGGTGGGGGGCCTGCTGTTGCAGCTCCTTATAAAGTTGCCGGAAATCCGGTTGTTGTCTTCGGCATTCATTTTTCGTCCTTATGCAATGCACTTCTCCAGCTCCAGCTCCACCTTCTGCAGCCACCATGCCATGGTCTCCTCTGGCGCCGTAACTTGTTGTGTTTAATGTTTCATTTATTTGCAGTTTCGTGCTGAGGCACGTTACGGACCATAGTCAGAGTGGGAGTGGAAGAGGAACGAGAGAAAAGACAACCAAGGAGCCGTTGCAGGGACTCTGCATTGTGCTCCGGTCCGCTGTTTTACAACGAGTATTTGACGCTTGTTTACTCATTTCCGGCTTCAGCTTGCATTGTGTCCTGCCCGAGGACCTTACTCTGCACTGCGTAATGTCGTCCCACTCCCCCGCGGCACACTCGGCAGTCGGCACTCGGGGCCCTCTCCAGTCTGTCACTGAGCGCTGGACTACTTTGTAGCTCCCATTGCCAAAATGCTTTAACTTTAATTTCGTAGCAAGTAGTAATAACTCTGTGACTCAGGTTCACAATCAGTGGGAAGCTTAAGGAATAAAACCTTGGACTCTAGATTATTTCAATCATTGTGTACATCACACCCCCAAAAGAAAACCCAACCTCAAGGCAAGGCTAAACTTGGTCCTGGGGCGCACAAATAAAAACTTTGTCGATGCGGTTTGCGCTTCTAATTTGCCTCAGGGCAAAAGCAATCAATCAATATTCATCAAAATGCTATTTAATTTGAATGCAAACGCCTCGCGTCTCCACGCTGTCACGTCTCGGTCCTGCCCCACACCACATGGAGGCACGCAACTTTCATTACTCACAGAGCGCGGCGACAACGCGAACTTTGAAGTGTGGCAGCAGACATTGAAGGAAGAGGATCGAGGCCAGGAGTGGCACGGAAACTAACGAACGTGCGACAGTTCCAAGTGGCTCGAATTTCAATTTTGCAAGCTGCAAAAGTTTTCATCCGAGTCTGGGATGATGCATTCCAAAAATTGTTTGACTGCTTCGTGTTTGTTAGCAGTTGCTGGGTGTGTCTCTGATTCTCATTCTCATTCTCATGCTGATTCTGAGCTCTCTGGCTGTCTCCTTCAGCTGCATGCTAATTGCGGCAGACAAACCTGTGGCATACTTTTCAACGTTGGCCTTTGTTTCACCTGTCTGGGGCGTGGGCTTTGCCATTCCACACGCATTTCAATTGCTCCACCTAAGACGAAGGCTCTTCGTTAACCCGATTTCGCAGGACAAACAACTGGGTCGAAAATAAACGAGAATTGCAGAGGATGGGCGGCACACAGAATATTTATCCCACCCGCGCACACGGACATAAACTACCAATATAAAGCATCCCATTGCTCGTCTCTTTCCCCTTTTTTTTGCTGTTCGCATGAGAGTACTCGAAGTCGTTTCAGTACGAGTATGTAGCATACGTTATGGCATCATTGATGAGTCAAAGGGAAAAAGGTCCGATGCGGACTGACTCCGAAATTGGCAGCTGTAAATTGTAAGATGGCCTCGCAGCACGAAATTACTGCGGAATTCAATTGGGGGAATGGAAAACGATTGAAAGAAATTCAATAAAAGTTAAAGGTGAATGTAGGTGAGTGCAAAAAATGTACAAATTTAAAGACCAACGCATGGATATCCATAGATAAATGGATTCATAGAATATCATTTCAGATATAAATATTTTTCTGTATTTAGCAAATTCCATTCACAAAGCTAAAGCATCAAGCTTCAAAAGAAATTGCTCCTTGGTCAGACATTATTTTATGGGGTCCACAGACGCTCTCCTCACACTCCACTTTTCGCAGGAAAAAAATGATTTTAAAGACCACAAAAAGCATGTCCTTGGGTTGCACGTTAAGACCACTTAATGCACGCCAAAAGCAGTTTATATATGTGCGGGCTGGCTGTATAGAATGGCTCATAAATACACTCGCACACTCGAGTACCAACACACACACACACACACACACACAGAGACAATGGCGAACAAGGCCAACGACACATGTTCTGGGTTTTTGGCCCCTGAGCCTCAGCCTGTAGGCATCATTTAGAGTCTGCATCCCCTGCTTGTGTATGCGGTGTTAATAATGCTCTTGATGTGTGCTAAAGACAGTTCCAGACTGCGAACAGCCAAGTACATGGCCAACTGAAGCTAGTTGTATGTCCATTGCTGTTTGTTCTACGGCTGCAGCTGCTCTTGATGCTCTGGCTTGGCTGTTGCTGTCTGAAAAAATGCATCTATTGCCACAAACAAATGGATGGACATATCAGTAGAATCCCTTCAGGGATATCCCACTTAAATATCGATTTTAAGTTATAAAGTTAAACACTTCAAGCATCAGCAGTGCCTCAACGAACCGTCGCCGATTGGAGTCATTAATTATTATATGGGCTTTCAACTATTCGCACATAAATAAAGCTGTGCTCGGGCATTACGCATACGCAGCGGCAGCGTTGGCAGCATTTTTTTTTATGACCAACCAGCCTGCTGGCCAAGCTCCATGACCCAACCTCAGGTGGAGAGGCGGGCAGGTGGGCAAGTGGCCTTTAATGGCTAGTCCCCTTCCGCTCGGTGTAACAACGGGAAAAGTAAGTCTATTAACGGCAATGACAAAGCACGCGAAAAGCTAATAGAGAGACAGAAACAGACCAGCCTTGAGGTTGGTGTTGGCCAGGATAGGGCTGGAGATATCGGCGGGGGGTAGTTTGGCAAGTCTATAAAAATGTATTAACTGTCGACTGGCAGAGAGAAGGCGAGAATAGAGTCATAAAGGGAAGTGGCAGAGCGGCAGAGGCAAAGGCACAGACACAATGGCCGTAATATGATAATCATTGCGTGGGCGCACCCCAGCGACACGCCCGCCAAAGGGGGCAGGGGGCGTGTGAAAAGTGGGTAAATGATGCAAAACAGAAGGGACTCCCTCTCTCTCCCTCTCTCTCCCCCCGATGATCCTCTCAGGCGGCCTAGGCCAACGGCAAATCCATTAAACCCTTATGATGCATGAGTACAAATAAAGTGAGTGAAGGCCGACAGACAATGGAGACACCCAAGGGGGAGACACCAAAACAAAGCAGAGAAAGACAGGAAGAAAAAACATCGAGGAAAACAAAAACATCTGGGCAAAAAAAGGCGTGCCAAAACATATGCGAAAAAAGAGCCCGAGCAACCGCAAAACCCCGAGCGGTAACTAGGAGCGATT